AAAAAATGTCAGGTGAAAATTTTGAAAAAATCTGCAAGGGGCTAGCCTGTAGATGTCAATTTGACTGAAAATTCTGCGGGCAATTTTTTTTTTAATCATCAAGGGCATAGCTATATATTTTGTATTAATTTAGGATTTATTTAGACATTTTCAATTTTGTGAAAAATTACATTGTACAAGAGGTTAGCCGTACATTTTTCTTCAGTTTAAGAGAAGTTTTCGGTTTTTCATAAAAACTAAAATCTGATAGGGGTTACCTTGCATTTTTATTAATTTTCGGGGAAATAAAGGCTTTCTAAAAAAAAAGCCGTATATTCATATTAACTGAAAGAAATTTTCAATTTTGTGAAAAGTTAAACTCAAGAGGGTTAGCCTTACAATTTTACTATTGCCACGTGCACAGACAGGAAAGACAGGGACAGACTTGAGATTTTATTTGAACCAAAAAATGTAATGTCCGACAGGATGAACTGCTAAGACAAAAGTGGTTTCTTTTCTCAGGACACCCCGGCCTCCACATTCGAATGGCGTAGCCCAAATTAACTGGATCGTTAACAATACCTACTAACTCACTCCGAGGAATTCTCTTTCCGGCCCCCAAAAAACCACAGATCCTGTCCAGTGACAATAAATCATTTGATGAAACCCCATGGGCCTAAAATGGATTAATTTTCAGGACAATTTGGGCTTTGCTACAAATTAAAAACTCCAAGGGGTTGGCCTTGACATTTCTGTTAACTTTTCAGCTAAGTGAAATATAAAATCTGTAAGACGTCTGCCATGCGTTTTAATATATTTTGAAAAAAAAAATGTTTACTTAAAAATAAAATCAGCACAGAGGGTTGGTGTTATATTTTCATTTTTGGAAATTTCTGGGTCATATGACTTCAAACTTGGAGTTTACCCTGACTTTCTGGAAATGAATTTGAAAAATTCTTTGTCAAGTTTCATAAAAGTGAAAGAAATTACACTTACTTGTACAATTGCAAATGAATTAACTGGAAACACAGAAACAGGAAACATATGAAGAGGCAGCTAGTTAAATGTCCGTCTTCAATATTTTACAATGTTTTATTACTAAAGTTAAAATTACAGATGATCACATAGAAAAGCAAATCATTTTTGTCCATTTGTCAAATTCCCTACAGAAATCAGAGGGGCCTATACACACCACTTTGGTTTGGGGGCAATTCCCTTTGCATCATATTTTTTTTTCTCAAACACGACCACTTGCTAAAAATTACTTTCCCAACTGACGGTTTCATTTGGGAATAGGCAAATAGTTCTGAATTGAAATTGTGTATGCATGATAATAAATGCTAGTCCTTCAAATCTTCCCAACGAAAGTGTTAATGATCAAGATTTGTTTTTAGTTCATCTGGATTTTTTTCAGGTATTTTGTCTGATAACACCCTTTGTGTGATTTTTGCTTTCATTTCGTTAAAAGTTTCGGCACAAAACCAGTAAAACACATTGGTGTTAATTGACTGACATTGGGGAGGACTACAAAAAAGGATAGAGGTTACAAAGCTAGACTGTTATATTTACAGAAATCTAAAAGAGAAAACGAATCATATACATGTGATGGTTACAGCAAACGGTTAATAAATATGAGAATTAAGGCTGACAGAATCAAGTAAGTAGGTCACATTAGAAAGGAAAAATACATTCACTTAACAATAGACAGCTGTACAAAAGACAATGGTTCAATTTTGACTGCTGACAAGGACAAATCAAAGTCAGAATCAAACGTGAGATTCTACTGTACTTTCGCAACATGCAATGGTAGCCTGGTGGGTTTTTTTTTGGGGGGGGGGAAGAAACCATTTCAAACACAGCTTTTTCAGGCCTATGATTTATTGGTTTTGGTTTTTCATTTTTTATTATTTTTTCAAAAATTTAAATGCCAATTCATCAGCGAGACATACTGGGGGATTGACAGTCTACAGTACTCCAGTTGATGGGCTACAAAATGATAGGCCTGGACTGCAAATATCGGCCAAGTTTACACAAGTGGAATGCGCCCTTGGGTTAACAGGAGGAAGGAAAGAACATGCCCATGCGGACCATGAAGGAAAGCATTGCTTGGTGAAATGGCAGTCAAGCTCATGTCCACTGAGAGCATTTCACTAAGAACCTTGCTATTATAAGCAAGGGCAACATACTAATCTGCCACTCCCAACACAAGGCAGTATTTTCCAATACAACAAATTTCACATCAGCATTGACACTGGGGCCCTTCAAACCACATCATTGGCCGAGGACCAAAGCACAAAAGATTCCAAATGGCACAGCAATGGCAGCCTTGCTTTCAATGCTAATTTCACATCCTTAATGTGATTTAGATATTTAAATTTGTAAACAAGGAATCGTAGGTCGATACATCAATGGACTTGGGTATCCAGCGGGCAGAATGTTGTTCTTATTCTGTAACATTTTCTGGATTAAAGATTCAAGAAGGGCAGACAAGATACTGGCCAATGTGTCTTTTTAGGTCAGTGGCTCTCAGTGCATAACACTTTTTTTTTCTAAACGGGATGCAGAACCAATTTTGTCAGAAATTGGCAACTGCCACACAGGCATTCTTGAACATGAAGCAAAAGGCTAATGGTCCCTTTACTCCTCTGAGAAGTTGTACTGACCCACGCTGAAATGTAGTAAGATGCAAAGTACAGATAATCTCAGAATCACATCTGCAGGGAACAGACTGAGGGATATAACAAGCAAAAGAAAAAAAAAGGAAAAAACCTAGCCTTCCATGAATTGGTATATTGAGTTGTGGCTTGTAAGCAGTGGGTAACATTTCTTCAACATAACAAAGCTGCTAACATTTCTTTAAAATGAAAAAAAAACACTGAATACACTTTAGGATAAATGCAACATGATGTACATTGCAGGCTTTTGGTGTATAGGGATAAAATACCAAAACAATACTGACTTTCAAATAGGCATATCTCTCTTGTAAGTAAATACATTTACAAGGTATACTTAAAGTATTCCTAATCAACCCAAAAAATGATTATAATAAGTACAAATGAAGAAAACTGAAAGAAAAAAATAGTACCGGCACATCAAAGACTCTGCCAGTATTTTGGAAGAACTGTTAACGTAGTTCCACATCAGCAAATAATCAAAGACAATGCCTTGACACAATAAATATAAATTCATCATGCGGTGGGTCGAAGTAAACAATGGACAGCCTAAAAGGTACCACAGGGACCAAGTGGGAGCCTTGCAAGTGTGGAGATTTAAAACTATTGATGACTTGGCTATTCTGCAAGAAGTATAAACTAGTTTTTGTTTCTTTCTACAGTGATCTACTCCAAGTAAATTTCAAATAAAACTACCGAGTTGAGGATTGGTAGAGAGGTATAAGGCTTTGACTGACAGGGCATGGCTCTATTACCGGCTGCAAAAATGGTCATTTTGAGTTGTGGAATGATCCGAGTGGATCTCACACCACTGCCATCTTGGTCTTGTTCCTCAACAACCAGATCACAAGTTGTCCTTGATGTCTGTCTTTTGAGGAGGGGCTGGAGTCACCATGATTTCCAGCATCCTCAAGCACAGTATCTCACTGTTTTGGTTGTGCCGGTGCCCATGATGTCACCGTGTGGCCATCTTGGTCTGGTGCCTTGTCTTCCTCACCAAAAAGGTTCCAGGTAATCTAACATCAAATGCCACAGGCAACAGCCCCATTTTTTGGTTGATGCTACGACACCCACACACTGAAGACGTGTGCAAAGCCTCACAAACAAGCAGCAGCTGCAACAAGGTGGGTAGCCCAAATGGCTACTGCTTAGAGGCCGGTGCTCGCTCGCACAATTGACCAAGGAGTAATCATCCTCACAGTAAATCCCCAAAGTGAAGACTGCCCTCTACGAGTTGTACATGGAGCAGTTAAGCACACCGGAAGGCCCACTACCTCCGCTACTTTCTTGCACAAGTTTGCTGTTGTAGACCTAGTCGGGCCAACTCTACCTGACACAATTAACATCTAGCCAGGCTTGACAATACCATTATCTGCCGTCGTTCACTCTTGCTACGCAATCAACTCCATTTTCTTTTGCAGACTCTGTCCGTGACACTGGCCGTTTGCTCTCAACCATTTCATGCAAAAAATCCTAGGAAATCAATAAGTATCCTCTGCCCTCACTGCCTGCACTTATGACCCTGTGTGTCACTGTGTACGCCCTGCAGTCTGTCACATTCTGCCTAAGCCAGTTTGGTCAACGTACAATGTTCAGTTGCAGCTTGGCTCTGCTGTGTTTGAGGATGCACTGGGAAGCCCATGTGTGTTCATGTGTGCATTTGGTAATATTTCTGTGACCACTTGCTGTACCCTACGTCTCGTTTTCTCTATCACTGTGTTCGTCATCTGTCATGACGGTCACCAGAGTCCCTACCGCCTTGCCAATGTTGTCGGCCATGTGGTGGAGACTCCCCACCTGGCTTGCACCTAAGCACAGAAAGGAACACAAGCGATTCGTTAGGAATGGCAATACTTGTAACTAAACCCTTGGACCTAATTTGAAATTAGTGCTTCACATAAAGCCAAAACATTTGAGATAAATGTTCATCTCAAATGATTAATGATCGGGCCATTGTTTACCACTTTAAAAAGTTGAAAGACTTTTAAGCACAACTGGAAATGGCTACTGACCAGTTGAAGTAGCACCTTTGTCGTCGGGGATGTTGTTGAGTTCCTTGATGACCTGGTCCAGGTCCACCTTACCCCCATCCTCCCGGATGGGGTCATCTTTGAGATGCGGAGGTGTGTGGGGGGAAGGCTGCATGTGGTCTTCACCTGAGGTGGTGGCAGAGGAGACAGAAAAGCAGGTGGAGTGGGTCAGTATGCTTCTGGCTTGCAAACCACTAAAGCAGGGCTTTGATTTCCAGGACTGTTCATGATTTCGGAATTTCTGAATCACAAGTTGTGGATTTTTATTAACAAAACAATTTGAATTCCCCAGACTAAAGACACTGTTGCTAGACCTGGTGATTTGGGGTAAGCTTTTGGATGGCGACCACCATCTCTGGAAGGGACTGGTTCCTTCGTGCCCTTCTTATCCACAAGAAACAGTGTATTAGTGCAAGGCAACTCTTATGTAACTAAGCAAAGCTTGCCCCAAATCACGAGGTATAGCAACAGTATCTTTAGTATGGAGAATTCCAACTGTTATATTCACGTGAATTTAAAGAACTCAGTGAACCAGATTTTATTCAAATTTAACTCGCAAAAAGCTTATTCCATTTACCGGCCATATCGCTGTCATAGTCGCTGGTGCCCCCGTTGGCAGGTGACCGCGATGACTCCAAGGTGACGTGGCCAGGGAGCCTGCGCGACCGGGGCAACGAGCTGATGGAGGAGGTGGGGGAGACGGCAGGGGTTGTGCGAGAGGAAGAGGCTTGTGACGCGCTACGGTCAGCGGGCTGTGAAATGTAGAACAGAGAAAGAAATGAGGGTAAACTCTGAGGCTCACAGCTGTTTGAGAATCCCACAAGAACAACTGTAGACTAATACAGGCTTTGACTGGAACTAAATAGGGAAATCAAACCAGGTCACCTCCCCAAAACTTGACAACAATTTTCAAAAGAGTACCCTCTCATGACTGATTACACCTTCTTTAATGAGTAGATTTAGCTTATGGGTTAAGCGCCAGCCTCATGCGGACTCTCTTTAAGAAAAGCAGTTGCAGTAAATATGGTAATAAGGTTACCTTTATGAAATAAAATTGGCCAAACGCTATCTTTACTCAAAAAATGTTGAGAAATTCAAGCGAGCTACAAATTTCTTACATTAATGACAACCTCAATAACGAAAGGGTGAAGTTGACAACACAAGCCTGTGCACATTTCAGGTGTGCATATTCTGTACCACGCACACGCATGTAGGTTATCAGCCTAGTGGGATATTCACAGGTGTCACTAAGGGGAGGGGCCCAGGGTAGCTGACATTTTTTCAGTGGGTACTGGTGGTACCGCAGCACTACCATGCTGGTGCCGAGTCCCCATCTTGATCCTTGGTTCCCTCGGTGTGAGAAGAAAGAAAAGGATCCTCCCTCCCTCTCCCTAACCTGTTCCAGGAGTTGCCTGAGCCGTTGCAGTTGAGCCTCCAGCTGCCGGTTGTGGTCCTCCAGGATCTGCATGCGGGCCTCCAGGCGGCCCTTGTGCTGCCGCAGGAGCTTGGCCTCTGCCACCAGCTCCGTGTCCCGGCCCGGCGAGTGATGATAGTCCTCCTCTGAGCTCACCTCCGCCCGGGTGTGGTCGTCGCGCCGCAGGGCGTGCAGCCGGTCCAGCTCTACCAAGAGAGTCCTGCGAGGACAAAGCATCAACATCGAGGCAAAGTCATTGACACTGGAGAGATTCTAGAGAAAAGTTTCAGCTTCTCCTCAAAAGAAAGCCAAAAAGATGATCTGGTTATGATTATTTACACTGCTTGTTTTCCTTTCACATATATACGTTTACTTGAATTTAGTCATCTTAACACCAAATGATGCCTAGTAAAAAGTCCATTATGTAGATGAATTAAAATCCCTTCCAACAAAGACATTTTACAATGCAACAAGGCAATAAGTCACAAAATTTCAACAGTACACAAGTTCAGGGATTTCAGGATTAAGTAAGGTGCTACTTTCTATCAGGTTCACAGGAGAATTATAGTAACGTATCACAGTTTCCGATCTTTTTTATGTACTTCAGACACAGCCATGTTTCTTAAGGTCACTTGGTAATCTTTTTCAGTCAGTAGAATGAGTGAAAAAATAACTTTTGCATACTGATGTGCACTTCTTTAAGAGAATTTGGTTTGGTTGCCTGTGCGATACCATGGGCTCCATGGCAAATTCTCCTTACCTGTTCTCTTCTTCCAAGATGAGAATCTAATTTGGTTGCCTGTGCGATACCATGGGCTCCATGGCAAATTCTCCTTACCTGTTCTCTTCTTCCAAGATGAGAATCTGGTTTGGTTGCCTGTGCGATACCATGGGCTCCATGGCAAATTCTCCTTACCTGTTCTCTTCTTCCAAGATGAGAATCTGGTTTTCTAGTTCACCCCTCTGTTCAGATTCAATGGCTACAACTATTTGAGCAGGGCTCCGCGGCTGAAATGAGAAGGGGGAAAAAGCAGCCGATAAATGCCAAAAACCCTGACCATGTCGTCAAACACAAAGGATTAGGAAGGAATGCTTTCACAACCAACTCATTGACAAGTCAACCATCTCTTCTGGTCGTTTTGTGATCGCAATGAATTTTTGTTTCAGATAACTGTTCAGCCTTCTGTAAAAGCATCTCTGATACAGTGACAACATTTTCTAACAACACCACTTGGAAAATAAAATCTGACTGTTTTCTGGCAACAGGTTCATCTCGGAAAGCTTCAATATGCAAGGATCCTTTCCAATTACATCAGGAACATGGAGTGCTTTGCCTCTCAATCGAGTCTATCAGAACAGAAATTCTTTCTTGTGCTGTGTAAATTTTTGTACTTTGTACTGTAAAAAAGTTCAATTCTTCCATGACATCATTTCATGACGTCGATGCTTACCACAGAAGACATGTCCCCTCCTAAGCTCTGGCAGTACTGTGCAATCAACTGGTGTTCATCATCCCTGTGAGAGTTATAATCACAGAATTACAAACTACCTTCTAAACATTTAATTCTTCCAAACGAACAAATGATACTTTCGGGTAATGTTTTCTTGACCCATTTCTCAACTCAACTTTGAAGTAACAGGTACCTCTTCCCAAAAGCAACAGACACAATTTCTGCCAAAACTTACAAGTCGGGGGATGGTGTCAGAAAGGACCCGTGCTGTTCCACCTCAGCTAACCTGAAATTATCAAAACACGTAAAAATTGAGAAAAAAAATTAGATATTGTTTATTACCATGTTGGATATGAGCCCTTATAATGTTCAGCTGGGAACTTTCCTGGAGCCTCTAACATCTACCACTTTGCAGAAAAAAGGGCATCTTCACTGTACTTTTAAACTTTTCAGGGAAATCAAAGCATATGGTGAGTAATACTGATTAGGCTCTACCTTTTTTCAGTTTTTTGAAATCACCAAATCCTCCATGAAAATTTTCAAAGATCATAACGGCTAAAAATGTTTTTAAAGTTACACGTTAATTCCGACCAGTTAAAGCAAAATGCAATATGTTGGTGATGTACCATTATTAAAAAACAAAACAAAACAAAAACGAAGCCAACTAAACAACTTAAGTTGCTGATATTATGCCTAATCTAAGTCAAAGTAATGCTTCATTCACCTGCTGGCATACAGTTCTAATCTGGTATGCATGTCCTGATTGGCCATCTGCTGTGGTGATGTCACAGGTCTGCACATGGCAACGGACAAAAGAAAAGAAGCAAAATGCAAAAGGTTTACCTAATGATTCATGCACTGTTATCAAGAGTGATGTTGAAAGTTGAGTTAATTGTCTTTATCGTGCCAAATTCCATGCACATCTGAATAGGTAGTTGTTGGTGGTGAACTGAAACAGAAAGGTTGTAATGATCCTTTGTTCTCTTTATAATACCAGCAGGTGACAGACTCTATGGGCACTGTGTGGGACCGAGAGAGGGCTCAACTTTCGTGAAAACTGAGGCTCCTTTGGTAGGATATACACTTCGCTGGTTCAGGAATAACTGGGAAGGCATACGTTGTTGTCGCATTGCTACCAACAAAATGGGGGCGAATCTTTAATGTAAGGACTTGATCATTTCCAGTCTCTCCCTGGCAAAATTTCAATCGAAGCTCCTCCGTCATTTTTGGGGGCAGAGTCAGAGGGAGGAAGATGGAGGGGGGAAGTCCATGAGCCACTTACGATTCCAGGTCATCCCCTTCTAGTACTGACTGAACGGGCAGGTAGCCCACCCGTGGATGTTTCTGGTAGTAATGCTTGGATTTGAACTTGTTCCGCACAACTTTAGCAAAGTCCCTCACATCTTCTCCCGAGGTAGTCTGCAAAGGAGACGCAAATCAAGACACAATTCTTAACATAACTGAACAAGTGAAACACAGGTATTTCTAAGATTTCAGCAGCTCATTCACATATGAAAGTTAAGTGCTAAAGTCACATAAAAATAAATTACATCCAGTCCCCCGAGTCTTCCAAGCAGCCCATCGAAGACACTGACAAACATAGGGGTTGCACTACATGTTTTTCAATGGTTCCTTGCCACGTGAAAGGGACTATTACCAAGTACAAGCTGCAACAGGCTTATTGGTGGATCTCTAAAGCCACGCCCAAACTGACTGGCTGTGGCTGGGGACAACAAGTGCACCTATGGGAAGTGGCCGCAGCCGCAAGCTAGTGCCTTTCACAAGCACAGGTACTATCGACAGCCATAGCCGTAACTTTTGGATGCATCCAAACCCAGTGCTGCACAGCTCAGCAGACAAAGTACTAGTCCTGCAAGTTCTGAAAGTCTAGGGTTCCAATCCAGCTAGTCGTGACATGCAACTGACATGTAACTTACTGTTGTGCAGTACTCCTGCATAGGATGGGAGTGCTTGTGATTTTTCGACACCCGGCCTGAGAAGAAGCAGTTCTGAAAGTCAGAAACCAAAGAAGGCAAGAACAGATTAACGTCAACAAACAGCTTTTGTAAGGAAGGAGGTACGGAAATGTGCCTTCAAATATCAATCTGGACACTAGTGGGTGTAAAACTTCTGTGTAAGAACAAGACAAGATGTGATTTTCTTTTCCACCCAATAAATGGTAAGGTGCTGTTTCAACACCACCCCAAAAATGGGTTTTATTACATCTAACCAATGATAACTGGGTGCCAACCTGACACATGTCAAAGTTGAAGCACTTGAGGCAGCGATACCGCAACCCGACGATGGGGAACTCCTTGCAGACGTTGCACTTGGCCTGGTGCTTGGCCGTCTCGCCGGCCGCCATGCGGTGCAAGACGGGCATCCAGACCATGGACTGGGGCTCCAGCTTCATCCAGGCCAGGAACTGAGGTGGCTCAATGTGGGACTTGCCACCGCTCTGAACAGGACACAAACAAACAAGAAAATTGTCAGACTGGGCGTTGACAAAGTCATGTGCATGTACCCGAACTCAGTCAGTTACAGTTCTGTAGACGGGTCGGGCTTTGCAGGATCAAATGATCACTGCTCTACCCCTCGATCTCGTCATACACTCTGTTGATCCTACCATCATTAAACAATCACTTTATCTTTCGAGTACATAGCTCTGGATCCACGCTGATTTTGAAAAGAGAAAATTAAGTCTTAAGATTTCCAACAGAATCGACTGACAAAGACCCCAATGCAATCCACAAAATGTACCGAGCTACCAATCTTGCCCAAATTGAAGCGTAGTACACACACTCTAGTTTAAAGTGGATTGCATGAGCTACATCATCGTGGAGTCTTCTCAGAGAACACATCTACTTTGCATGTTCCACATCAGTGGTACAGGTAGGTACCACTGATGGTAGGTGGTAGAATCGAACCCCAAAACAAATAGAAAGAGGGGTGTCTGGACACAGAGTCTGATACTGGTGAAAACCAACTCCGATTTTTGCCACAGGACTCAGACTTCAGTCCTAGCCTTTTATGCCAGGTTTCCTCAGAAAAAGCCGAAGGTCTCACACACAACTTTCTAATTGCTCCAAGCTGTACTTCAACAAAATTGCCAGCCTTGGAAAAGAACGTGAATGAAGCCGAGTATGAAGAAACCACTGGTTCACTCAATCACGACAAATATTTCATTTCGCAAGCAAAGCATATAGGAAATAGGACATGCTGTCTTTGCTTCCGAGGGAGAAATCATAGCCTACCATGTTGAAGCAGCTGCGCACGCTGGGTTCGATGTTGCTGCCGCCAAAGGACGCCACCTCCCCCAGCTGCCGCGGTATCTGGATGCAGTCATGAAGCAGGAGGCCCAGGCCTCGCTGGTCAATGAAACCGCTGTTGTTGGCCACACACCGGATGATATCTGAACACAGGTAACAAGACAAGAAAAGGTTGGCCCTTCACTGAAAGAGATCTTGGACTGATTGGATAAGACATGTAAAGTAACCATACAGACAGGCTGTATCTCATGATTTGGCCGGGAGAAATTCTATTCACAGACATCACACATTTTTCCCTACAGTGGTAAATCAGCCATAAGAAAGCGATAACATTTCTGAAATGTCAAGTTAAACAAGGAAAATTTCCTTAGAAAACACCTAAAATTTTTCAGACCAGTCTCAGAGGGTTTGATCACAGGTGCCAAATGATGCCCGTATATGGAACTCTTTCCGTTTTGCCAAATGCCTGTTTTCAGTAAAGAAGACGTGTTCTAAAGTAGGCAGCTGTACCAAGGAAAGCAAAACTTTGCAATTATTTTTCTCTACAAAACACCAACTTCCTCTACCTTGTTTTTTTTTTAGCATGAAGCCACTTGCAAGGAAACAATGTCCTTCATATAAAAATGGCTCCGAGGTTACGCTAGGAATAAATGTTTGGTTTAACTTACATCTGTATTTGTCTTCAAGGTGAGCTTTACTGAGGATGATGATGGCCAGTTTGAAGGAGAGCGCCCTGATGCGGCCACTGCGCACCCTGCAGGGAAGACAAGGAGATTGTTAGAGGTCTGCACAGAAGCCGTAAATGACCAAGTGTGGGAGAGTCAAAGTGGACCACAACGGACACACCCCGCATTCATACAAGTATGTGTTTACCTCACCACAGAGGACGGAACACAAACGAAACATAGGGTGTTTCCCCGTCCTTGGAGGTCAGTCTTTTGTCCTCGGTCATGAGTAACTGTACTAGGTCTACACGAAGGAGTTATACACCAGAAAGCACAATACTCTCTGCACAGAGGTAGAGCAGAAGTAAAGCATGACTGTACGATTTTATCTGCACACTATCTGGAGTAATGCAACCAAGGAATCTGTGATGTATTTGAGTCCATCACAAGTCCCTGCGAGTCTCTGTAAGTCCATCACAAGTCATCCCATCTTAAGCCAAGTCACAAGCTATTCAAATGGACTGAGACGAAAGCACTCTTGTGACTGGACTTGAGAAAGGACTTGTGACGGACTTGACTCCAACGCTGCAAGGAAAGCTTGAAATTTCTGTCTGTCTGTCTGTAGGCTGAGGCTTGACAGGAACAACGCGCAGGTTCGCAGAGATGCGGACGCCGCCACTTACGTGTCGTAGACATTGAGGAGCCAGTTGAGGCACATGTCCACGCACTGCGGCACCACGACCAATGTCGGATGGTCCACCGCAATGGCCTCATACACAATAGTCAGGAAGGTGATGATCTCATTGACGTCCAGCGTGCGGTCAGTGCAGGAAGCCAAGATGTCGTGCTGCTGGAAGATCCGGTCGGCACTGTTCATGCTCAGCAGATCAACTGAGGAGGAAATAAATGAAGAGAAAGACATGCAATACAGCAAAAAAAAATCAACTTATCAGATCAAGAACGAACTGACATATGATGAACTGAATCACTTCGTTACATCGTAGTTTTAGCAGCTCAAGATATCAATTCAATCGTCCTTCTAATTATAATAATGACTTGATTGGCATGACATAAAAAGTCTAAATTCAGATATCAACCAATGAAGTCTTAGTCACAGTGTGGAATCTCAAAACAACTGGTAGAGTTTGAAAACCGCAACTAACCTGATGGTAGTCAAAATCTGTGGTGTTGTGGGTGCGAATGCAAATTTATGTGAATTAAGATGTCACCGGTTGAGAATGATGTTTGTCAGTGAGGTTTTTGGGTATTACTCCAAGGATTTTTTTTGGGGGGGTACTTACAGCAAAGGGCTTTCTGGAGTTTCCTCAGCTTCATGGCAGTCCTGTAAGCTGAGAACTTGACGGCGTTCAGCTCACCTAACGACTGGAAGAGCTCTGTCATCTTGGGATGATCCCAGTGAGTTGTCTCTGTTGCGTGGCTGAAGTTAAGCAAAAAAAAAAAACAAGTACAATTACTAGGGACCCTTAGGCCAATCCCCAAACACGCAAAGAATTTGCTCAGCGCATGTACCTTTTACTAAGCACTAAGTGAATGGACCCAACGTTGTGCTATGCATATTGTGATTGGTTCTCTAATGTCTTCTGCTCAGCAAAAAAACTGCTGAGCAATATTTTCTGCTAAGCAACTCAACGATATAATTTGGACCAGGGTCAACTTCACAGAGCTACTCTACGCACAAATCTGCTTAGCAGGATCACTTATTTCTGGAATGATTCTTGCTTAGGGCTGTGTCCAAAGCAACAGGCCGCTGCCGAAAGTAACGCACAGATCTATTGGGAGTGGCTGCAGCCATAACCAGTGCCTTCAATATGTGCCATGTCAGAACCGTCGGAAACCAAAATTTGCTAAGGAAGTTTCTTCCTGCTTACTGCATCATTAGTGGTGGTGGAGATTACTTACTTGATGTAATAGGGGACTTTGTTACCGGCTACTGCCCTCTCCCACGGGTGCTGAACTGACACTGCAAGTCAACCAAACAAGCCCAATCAATTTTTTTTAATGGTCCCGGAGGAACTACAAATCATGATTTTATGTAGGTCAACGGCAACAACTTGGGGCCAACTTGCACCCGTCCATTTGGGTGGTCTTTTTAATTACACCTGCTTGATTCTCAATAAAGTGAAAATCTGCAGGTTTATGAGCCCTCTCAGGGTGGTGACAGGATTTGATATCCAGACTTTGGGGACTGGGTGTCATTTGCTTACATTACACGGACTATTCCACATACTATGTCCCTCACAAAATGAAATTAATGAGTTCCAATTGATGCAGAGCGGGTCGGATTTCTGCCAGAAATAAAACAGAGACTCATTGGATCTTGAAAAAGACCATGAATTAATACGGTTTCCTTGCTCTACAATATCAGAAGAAATATGTGCACTATTTATATATAGGCTGTGTTAACATGAGAGAAATTCTCCATTGGTGTCTTGTTTATAAACTACAGTAATGCTGATGACATTTTCTCAGAAATCCTTAGTTTCATCAGCAGAATGGAATTATCTATTTTTCTGACAACAAAATATTGAAAGTTTCCAAGCTCAATATCCTATCAAGGTACAATAGTAAATAAGAGATGGACACTGCTCTTATGTGCATATCGGATTTCAATGAGCCAGATGACCTTAGCAAGTTTTAACTCTCCAGCTGAGAAGATTTCTCCACTCCTGAAGAGAACGTTATAGGTTCCAGTCCCACTGGACTTAGCCAAATGTTTTGCTCTTTTCAAATGTGTCCTCTCGCATGACATTTCTAATGATTTGTAAATCCTTGTTAATGAAGTTTCAGTGACGACCAACCTCTGAGGAAGTGTTGGGACTGAGGTCCAAAGTCCCGCAGGGCCTCGTTTAGCAGTTTGCCCCTCTCCTCCACCGATATCTGCAGCATCTTCCAGCGCTTGTACAGGTCCTCCAGCCGGCTCTGGTTGACGGTGCTCAGGGTGACGGCGGCCGGCGGGAACTGGGCCGCAAGCTGGGAGAGGTGGTCCACATCCCGCTGGACGGGCGCTATCCTCTCCTGAAACCGCTGGTGGGGGGGGGGAACAGAGAGGGAAAAGACTCAATTGTTTCCAAGTTCTAAAGGCTGTTTCACGAGCAAGCTTTTCATTGCCACGGCTATTGTCAGCTGGTTCCTGCATGGCTGGAATAGGCAAACTCCTGGCTCTAGATTCAGGGGCAGCCTATGATGCATTTAAGTTTATTCTTGTAACAGAGATACAAAGCTTGGATTTAATTTGGTTTGAACTTTTTATCAGAACAGAGAAAGTTCCATAAAATGCAAATGAGGGAGTTCAATGGTTGTGACAAAAACACTTTTTTTAGTAGGAGAATCTCCTCGTAACTCGTCCAGTTAAATAGTTTTACAATATCAGGCCAGGTCTCTCGTCTCTCTTTCTAATTCGGACTTCCGGTTCCATACCTTGACTTCTTCGATATGCTGCGGAAGGCTGTCAATGGTCAGATCACCGACCATCCGCCATCTTGACTTTAAGGACTCTGCCTCATGCAGCTTGGCATTCAGCTCGTCCATTGTTTGGTGGAGTCCAAGCATTTTCTACAAATTAAAACAATTTTAAACAGACAAAATGTCTTTTCAATTTCAAACAACACACTCCCTTATGGGGAAAACAGAAACAAAAATTTCGTGCTTTATGTTAAAATCACTGCAATACAAATGTGAAACCTTACGACAAAAACAAGAGCAAGCAAGATATAGTTACCTAGTTATTTCACTTCCTAACATAACTAGAACGGCAAAGCCGCCATGGCTCACTGCTTGTTATGAATTTGAATTTCTTTCTTGTAATAACAGGAAAGAGACATCCAAGTTATACAAATATGGTAACTAAATTAAACAAAATAAGAGGGACCTTATGGCAAAATAAGAGCAAGATATAGTTACCTCAATTTCACTTCCTAAAGTTAAAACCATCATTTCCAATCAAGTCTGTATAGTTTCCAGCATGACATTAAACTACTTTTGCTAAGGCCGATGGGATAGGGGTAGGGTTTACTCAATCAAATAATTCAGTTTGTGACTGGATCCCACAACATGAGTCTGAAGACAATTTTTTCCCAGTAAGTTTGTTAAAGTTTATAGAAGAAAGCGCAAACCGTTTCCAGGTACCACTTAGACGAAATTCAAATCATGTAGGTGAAAACCTGAGTCATTTTGCAAGGTTGGGCCACGTTCTGATTATCCATATTGGAACACTCAATGAAGAAGGTCACAAAAGGTAAAAAGAAAAACACAACTGGAGACTGACCGCCAGGACATCGTCCAGTCTCTTCTGCCAGTGCTCCGACCGGCCGTTGAGCTGGGCCCACCTCTCTTGCAGGCCGGCCAGGCTCAGCCGCAGGCTCTGGACGATCTGCCGCGCCTGGTCCTCGGCTGAGGAGGCCGGCTCGGGCTCGCGGTCCAGGCTGCTTGCGTCGTCGCTGCCCCGTGAGCTGAGGGTGACTGCCTCGCTGCTGCTGCTGTCAGCTGCCGAGGTGACGGCAGCACCGTGCTCCGTCAGGTAGAGACGGCCCATCTGGATGTTCCTTTCCATGGTGGGTCGCTTCTCCTCCAGCTGGCTCTTGAAGACCTGATAAATGTCAAGTTGGCAAAAAGTTGGCTTCACTCCAAACTCTGCTAGCATGCTTGCCGAGAACCTTCCTCAATCATCCTAAATTCTCCACTACGCACTAAACCAACGGCATGAGTAACTTCAAAAAACCAGGAGCATCAAAAGCCATCGGAAGTAACGGCAAAGTGCCCGTACCTTCTTTAATCATGTAAAATCCTCCGCTCTGAAAAGTGGTCAAGGTAAAGGGTTAATCTTTGCTTCGCTAAAACCTCTAACTCACTTAGGATACGCATGTATTTTGAAAAAAATGAATGTTTACAAGTGCAACAGAAAGAACAATTTCATTCGGTGACAGTTTGAATGTTACATTCCTCTCAGCTCCAAAACATGATATTATCATTACATCTGTCACCTCATACAATTATTCTTACAACCGCACACATTCATTACTTGTATATTATTACCCTAAGTGAGGCACAGCATCCGTGGATGCAAAGATACTATGGAGATCACCCAGAGAAATTCAACTCACTTTGTGATCTTCGTTCTGCTGCTGTACTGAGTTGTAGTCCCCTCCCACCGGCTTCTTGGAGGTGAGCTCCTCCTCCTTTGAGCGGATCCACTCCAGGAGGTCTTGGAAGGCCTTTAGGAGGGTGCTCCACTCCTCAGCATTGGCCTCCAGCCGCCGTCTAGGAAAGAAGAGATGGTACTGCTTGATACAAGAGAGAGCACCGCCACACAACAGCCGAGACAAGCTACATGTACTTCGGGTACAAATGTACCAAGTCTGGCGAAGTTCTGCTTCACAAACACAGGTTACCAGCCAAATTCCTGTGTGATTGACATTACTGTTCAACGGTTCTCTGCTGACCTTTTGCTTAGCACAGAAATCTGCCAAGCAATTTGTCCACTTGGCCATTTCTGGCTATTTAAAACACTGAAAACTGAACACAACACATTACATTACAAAGAAAAATCCACAGTAAAAAGAAAGTGGAGTGTGAAGTATCGGGTAAATATGCAAGATTAATGAAAGAGTAAAGTGAAACCATGAAAACAGTTAATTGCCAAGAAAGACAGTATTTGACTAAAAGAGGAAAAATTGCTACGAACATGTTATAATCCTGATTCCACTTCGTTTTGTGCACGGAAAAAAGTCATAAGTGCTAACGACCTTTTGCCGGGAAGCATAAAATTTTTGTTCCCGGCAAAAGGACGTATGTATGCAATTATTTTATTTTAATGAAACATAAAGATTTCTTTGCATACAGTTCTAAAACATTTCCCAAGTCATTTGATAAGTTCTTCAAAGGTTGATTTTTGCAAAGCCTGTGTTGATTTTGTGGTAATTTTTTTTCCGTTTTTACTGAATAAAGAGAGTGTCTTTCTTACACCCTTTTACCGGCAACATTTTTTCCACTGTGATCATGCTTCCAGGCAAAAGGGCATAAGCACATTTACAACCTTCTGCCAGGCACATGACAACTTCTGTTTAATAATATAAAAATAATATAATTACAGAAAAGCCTCGACAGTTTAGAAACTCGTGTTTCCAAAAACTAAATGAACTACATTAATATTAACAGAGTCCTGTTCCACAACAAAAGGCAGGCAGAGGGTCACGCATGAAACAGACTGCAGTTAAAGAGACACAGCAGGCTGCTCATTTTTTGGCCATTACTTCGACTCTGACAAGCAATTTAACAAGACCCAGATTCCTAAATTGTTTCTGTAATTGTTTGGGGATGGTTTCTACCATATGCTCAAATATAGCCAGGTCTCTAGTGCTCCAGCAATCAGCAAAATGGGGGCATCTTGTTGAGAAATTCCTCACTCAGAAGTCTGTGAATTCATCCAAATGGACAACAAGCAGAACAGAGATGGTCAAAGATCATCTCATAATATTTATCCCGGCGTTTAAAAGAAAAAGACAGACAAAAATAACTGCACGGCTTGGAATGGAATTTCTTTTGACTCCAAAATAGAAATGTCACAACATCTGTAACCAACCAACTCTAGAAACAGAGCACAGATGTTTCTCATGACACATTTAATCGCAGGAATTTAACAACTTTTTTTCCTTCCAAAAACCAGCCTCCCTGGCATTTCTTCCTATAAAAGAATGATTCCAAACTGTTTCTGTAGGCTGACTCACAGAAACAACATTTGGCATTTTCACAAGTGATTCCACAGAGCAAAATGGGGGGAAAATAGTTACACAGACAGGTGATTCAGGCTTCTAGGATATATGAGTTGGAACATCTTACAAAATTCATGACATACCTTACCAAATTTATGGGAAATAAAAACAGACAAGTGATTAGAGGATGCAACTTTGGGCCTTTTCACCTTGCATTTGCCAAACCCAGAAAACATCCAGTGATTGTATGTCACCTGGAGGGTTAAAGTTATTTCCCTAAATTTTCTCTAAATAATTCTAAAATACTAAAATCAGCAATTTTGGTCGGATCAAGTCAGAGGCCATCAACAAGGGATATAAGCCCTCCAGAAACGATGGTCCCCACAACTCCATGCAAGCCTAGAGAAATTAGTATTTATGGACTTCTTTTCATTAAGCATTCACCCAGCTAGGGTAGCCGTATCAGTTCCCAATAAACTCTTCTTCCTTAACCCTAACCCTCCTCAATCCTTCACCTGTTGGAGGACTGAGGAGTGTTAGGGTTAAGACCCTTTGGCAGAAAACAATGCACAAATATTCCATTTTAGAGGTGGGGAAGAAAACATCACAGGTAAGTATTCCAGAGAAACTCACAGAATCGGGTATTGACTGAAAAAGAATCACGATTGACATTAAAGAAGCCCTATCCACATGTCAGCCTAGGCGGGATTCGAACCCATGCAGCGGAGGTGGGAAAGCAAGGACAGTGCATGTACCACTTGCGCCAACCAGACTCCCCTTCCCAGCCCCCTTGCAAGACGAGACCGCCCACCCACCTGATCTCAGACGACTTCCCCTGCAGCTTACTCCACCTCCGGTTCATCTCCTCCAGCCGCTGCTGCAGCATCTCCGTCTCCTCCTTGGACTCGCCGCTCTTGAGCTGTGTGCCGCCCGCATCATTGAGTGCCGAGAACACATTGTGGTGGGCCTCAATCTCCGCCTGGAGGTCCTGCAAATGGGAGGAGACAACAGTTTGATGTGATCTTTCTGGTGGCTTGAGGAGAAAGCGCATGCTGCATGAATGCTTGAACAAGGCATGTATTCTGCTAAAAATGGAAAACATTTCAACACAAAAGGGGCTTCTGAAGCATCTACCAAGAGCTCCTCTCATATCAGATAAAAGACACAAACAAAATGGTTCAAGGCCAGAAAAACACAGATGATTTTGCCTGTATCACCAACATAGCTGTTACCATGATTAAGTCCTCAGATGTACAGTACATGTACTAGAAATCTGCATTGCTTTAGCCGAGTCACTCTGCAGGACACTGACTCTAACAGACAGGTGCAAGACTCCAGTGTGGGACTTGAAGAAGATAAAACTGCCTGCAATGCCAACAAACGTGCTGTGCAAACTCAACCGATGCTCCCATCCAAAACGATGGGATGCCAATTTTCAGGTATTGGTGAATATTGTGAAAATTAACATGATTACAGAACTAATAGGCACATTTATCACTGAAATGACGGAGCAGGAAGTGTAAGCTGAATACAATGGCTGTAAAATGACCCATACATTTAAACATGCAACCATTACCACCATTACTTACAACCGTAAAAAAATTAAGGAAACTTCAGTTCAGGAATGGGAAAGTGAGTGTAAAATTTCAAGCCGAGATTTGACTCTCTCGTTTTGCTATCTTGAATGCCATGTTAGGGGGGGGCGGCCTCACCTTCTCAAAACTTTGCAAGACCTCCTGCAAAACCAGGTTTATTCTGAGCATGACCGAAAAATCCAGTCCGACCATAGGAAACTAGGTATCGAATAAACACCTCGCTCCCTTAAAGGGATAACTGCTCCTCCAAGCAACCTCATCCAGGGCTACAGCATCTGCAGGACGGGCATCATTTTTCTCCACGGCGATGAAGAGGGACGCGGCCAAACGACTCCGACAGGACAACTGTCTGCTGATGTCAGAAGGCTGACCATCCTCACCAGCCGCATACCACAGCGGGTGGGCAGAACCTTAAGCCATACTAGGGTCTTCTCCGATTGACAAATTAAACCCTGCTTACACCCACCCGCCAGTGAAACGGGAAAGAGAACAGTGGGATGTACCAGCACCGTTTACCGGAGTCCGCTGTGCCAACCAACAATTTAGCCACCAGAGCAACAATATCCCACATCATCTTTCAGTCGAGGGTGAACGCCTTGTGACACCAAGGCATGCACAATGCCTCCCGTGTTATGAAATATTAACAGCCTCTTAGGGTCAAACTGATAGCCTGAGAGATGGCCCATGAAATTTTCATTCACAGAAAAGCACCAAAATGGAGACTAAAAACAAGCTGCACCCACGTCGACGACGGTACTGCATGTTTCTCATTGACTGAACACAGTGAACAGACAGACAGCAATCAATAATATAACTGGTTCATGTTCTTCTTCATGTTCATCCAACATGATTGGCCTTAAGAAGGGCATGATCAAATGCCATCACATTGGCAACGTACACCAATCTTGTCCATTCTCACAATACCAGATGAAAAATACAACAATTACGGTGGCAGCGATAATGGTCGTTACGTTCCAATGGCCAGTTGCACTGAAATTATTTCTTCACCACCACAAAACACAGTAGCAACTTGCACACGATGCTAAATGATGGGAAAATTAGGATAAATATCTATGCAGGGAGTGCCAGATAATGAAAAAACATTTTTAAAAATGCCGATGTAAATTGCATGTAACAATCGAACAAAATGAAGTTCACCAACCCCAGACCAAACCAGTTGTAATGTTGTAACTCACAACAAAGAGAAGACATTTGGGTGGTACTGAACTCCCCTAATACAGGCAACAAAAGTCTACAGAAGAAATAAAGCAGCCGTGTGGACACCTGGAGCAGGAGTTTGGATTGTAGGTTGATTTATGGTGCGTAAGTTGGATCCCAAATGGCCAGAATGCAAGGAATGTGTCCTCTGACATGGGTAAGCGATCTGGCACACTCTGTATAGGGTCATCCTCACAATGAACAATATCTGTGTTAGACAGTTCTGGCCTTGTTTTGGACAACCAATAGTTTTGCCATATTCTGCAATAACTGTCTTTTAAAAAATATTTATTCCATCTGAGAACCCTGGGCCCTGTTTTGTTTGCTTTTCTTTTTGCTAAATATAAGTCCTTTTGTTTGTACACGAACAAGTACGACTTCAATTTGTTTGAACAAATTGATGAATTAAAAAAAAAACTGTTGCAAGATGTTAAAAAAAATCCAAGCAAAAACTTCTTCCTTGTTTTCCAATAAAAAATACAACTAAACCTGTGAGGCTAAATAACTGTTCGTGTAATGTACATGTAGATTGTTTATTAGAAAAACAAATACATGTGTACATGTGTTTACGACAACGCACGGTCCCTAATTCTTCAAATCCTCTTCAACAGACAGGGACAATGTTGCTGCTCCCTTTAGGCAGGAACTGACTAATTTGCACCACTGCTTGACACACTGAAGGACTGCGCTGTATCTGACTAGCCTGTGTGGTCATATTGACTGAGAGATAAGACAGAAATTGTACCTTCCTCAACCATGATGCACACACGTGCGCATGAGTCCGATCCCACAAAGAGAATTTCGGAGAGCTGTTGGCCATGGCAGCTTCCTGGGTACCCCAAGCGGGTTCAGCTGAGACAATGTTCTCCCTTACCTTAAATCTGACCCTCTTGTTGGGTAGGCTACGTTTTCCCTGCATCAGTATGGCATTCGCGACAACATCAGGACAGAGCATTGCTGAGTGCACGGTCAAGATGGCGGCCCATTAGGATAAAAAACTACGTGGCGCGATAGTCGGCCTATGGCTGGCTGTTCGTCATCTACCCTCAGCCCTGCTTTTTGCTGTTCCAGCACGAGTCTGCACTGCGAATGGACTGATAACATGAGGGACCGCCCCTCTACTCAGGAGCGTCTGTGACGCAACATCCTGTGTGGCTGATGCTGAACCAATGGCGCACCTCTGATGGATGCCTGTTTGGAAAATTGAGGAAGTCCTGGGATAACGAAGTTTGCAAGGTTTTCCTGGACGCGGCTGGGGTTATTTCTGATATGAAAGTGAAGCATTTAACTAGCACTACCTGTGGAAGGGAACACCTTGGACACACTATTCAGTCTCACAGGGCCCATAACGATAACTGGAGCCAGATTTTAAAAAATGCCAGTCTTGCACTTTACAAGGATCAACCAATCAGAAGATCCATTTTTCTGTTCTCAGTTGCTTGTAGAAAAACTTGAAACTTTCTTGCAATCTTAAAAATCAGACTCAAAGCAATTTTACAAATCTATTAGTACACGCGAATGCTTCATTAACATTTTTTCAACACACTTCCAGATCAACCTCAGCATATCTTCCTCTGGTTGAGTACCCTGACAAAACTTTAAAATATTCCAATATCCATCGCCACATGTCACATTTAAACCAGGTAAGCTAGCCCTCGCAAGCTGGGTGGTTGGTTGGTGAGACAACTGCACTAGCAAACAGGAGGTCCTAGGTTCAAGTTCCTTCCAAGTAGCGTTGGAAGCTTTTCCAAATATGCTACCTCACAGTACAGAGCACATGAATGCAAAACTAAGTGGGGTCATGTCCTAAGTCCAACATCCCATAAGTTTAATGTGTCATGAGTCCGACATTTTAGACTGATGAGGTATCATTTCAGACTAATGAGGTATCGGGCTTTGGGCTCATTCTAGCTTCAAAGCCTCCTTGGTCCGAACCAAGTTGATTTATGAGGCATTGGAGCGATATGGACCTTACAAAGCAAGCTTCATTTCTCAACAGATAAAACATGAACTATTACGGACCACACAGCATGTGTAATCTCCACCTGTAACACTCAGTGGCACTATTCTGACATTTGACGTGGTGCTTGCATTCATTTATACTGGCTGTTGGATAAACAAAGCAACTGACTTAAAAAAAAAAGCATAAACAAAATTTAAGTGTTGGACCAATGAGGCATCTGAGTGATCAGACCAGTTAGGAGTCAGAACGACGGGACGATTGATGCAAGCACGGAGTCGCAGACCCCAACAAATGACATCATTCGGGTACCAATCCCATCAAATGGCGTTTGGTTCCACTTGCATACTCTTGGTCTGAAGCAACAGTCACTAGTCCAGCTTCCTCCTTCCAATGGTAAGAAGCCAATGCATCAGTCCATCCACAACTGACCCTCCCACTCACTCAACGGAGTGCTTGCAGCAGAACCAAAGATCCCGCTCTCCTCTCGGAGGCGTGAAGCTGGTTTGGAAACAAATTGAATGCCTCTTGACCACTTCAAGTTCAAGTGGAAATGGCCTAACCAGAAATTATTGAAACTGTGTGAGTTTTGATGTGGAAAACAACTGAAAGGGGTCACAAGTTGTCTTCCTGTAGGCCGTATTTCCTTTTTTTTGGGGGGGGGGGAGAAGTACAATGTGCAACAGACCCACTTCCTCACAGTGTATAAGGGTACTTCCTTGCGGCGTTTCATTCAGAAAATCCAATACTAAAGCGATCTATCATAAATGGGATCACATCATCACAGAGACCTATCTAATGAGAGAGAATTTGCAGTTCCTTCCGAACGAGGAAATTTAAATGTAATGGAATGGACACGGAAGTTCAATAAATTACAGATATATCTAAACTTGTCTTCCTTTGGTTTCCTTGCAAAATTCAGATCCATGCAGGTGTATTCTGATGAATACAAAATGTTCAGATTCTTGGTACCCATATAAATAGGTCACATTATCTACAAGTAATGAAAAGACTAGGCCAATACACAGCACTTCCTCATCATAATGCGATCTGATTGTATGTGTAGAAATACATCTATACCTCAGGCGCAGACTTTGACATGGGTATCAATGGACCCCAATACACTCCCTTCCAACCCACGCTTGTGGAAGAATAAAACAGATTCGAGTCCCTCGGGAGTGTTCCTACCTGAACTAAGGAAGGTCAGATGGCAGC